AGAACCTAGTGGAGAACTGCTCTTCTAGGGTTTGAAAGGGGAAGAAGGGGGAGAAGATAGTGCGTTTGAGGGGCTGGAGGTGGGCCCCACAATTTAATTTTTTTGGCCCAAAATCTGACGTGTTTTGTCCATGTGTACAGTTGAGGTGTCAGAAATTTTGACATGTCATCATACTCAATTAATTAACGGGACACGTCACTATATTTTTAACGGAAGGACCAAGTTGGGGTAAAATGGGTAAACAGTAGGGACCAAGTCAGGGATTTTTTTAGTTCAAGGACTAAATCGGGGGTCCGTACAATAGTTCGGGGACCAAAAAGGGGTTTTAACCTAATTTTAACACTTAAGTTATTTTGATATATCTAAATAAATAATTAAATAAATATTAAAATTTTTTATATATTAATAATAAAAGAGTACTTTTTTACTTCTTAAAAATATATGGATTTTTTAAGAGCACTAGTGCAGTTGTTGCACCATTTTAATATAAATGAATATTAAAAAATATAAAAATTATCATTAATTGTATTATTAGTGTCACGTAGATTTTAATTAAATAATTATTTAAATAAAAATTAATTTTTATTTTTTTAATATTAATTAATGTTAAAAATATAACAATTGTATCTTGAATCTATAATTTAAGAATACAAGTCAAATAAACTAAAAATTATATTACTAATATCAAGTTTTAAAGTATGATTTGATTATGTCATTCTTACCCATCTTCAAGGAAAAAATGCACAAGACTCTAAGGGATGTTTGGTTTGGAGAAATTTTCTCTTTAAAATTCTTTAAAATTTTATTTTAATAAAATTATTTATATATTTTTACATAGTAACATTATAATAAAAAAATAATATTTTTAATATTTATTTTTTCTGACAAAATTATCGCAACAAAGTAAAGTTTTCTTTTCAACATATTTTGAAAGAAATTTTTTTTTTAACTATTCTTATATTAAATCTATTTAATAATTTTCTCTACTAATTTTTTTATATCAATTTTTTATCAAATTAACAAAACTTAACAAAATTTTAACTAATTTTATTACAAAATTTAATAACTCTTGTAAAAAAATTTTAAATTTTTTTATATATAATATTTTTAAACTATTTTTTCAATAAAAATTTTTTTTAACAAAGTGGTTCTAACAAAATAGTTATTAAAATTTAGATGATGCATGTATCGTTCCTTCCAACTTTGGAGTAAATGTGTAAATAAGGATTTCAACTTTGCACTTTTTTTTATTTAAGGATGTTAACTTTGTCAATTTTTAAATAAGGATGTCAACTTTCAATTTTTTTCTAAATAAAGATATTAACTTTCAATTTTTTTCTAAATAAGAATGTTAACTTTGTTAGTTTCTAAATAAGGATGTCAATTTTCAACATTTTCTATTCAAGGATGTTAACTTTCAACTTTTTCTATTTAAAGATTAATTGAATAGTGATATTGACGTGGCTAACATATTTTTTTAGGTTAAATGTTTGAATTGGTCCCTCGACTTTTATTTTTGAACCAATTCATCCTTAAACTTCAGAAAGTACCAAAAAACGTCCTTCAACTTTAATTTTCAATTTCGTTTTTCCGTTAATTAAATGTTGATGTAGCTAATTTTTTTACTAAGTGATTGACTATTTTACATTTTCAATATTAGGTGGAAAATCCATCATCTAAAAGATGATTATGTGGATTTTTTAAAATTTAAATAATTTACAAACTACTTTAATTCTTAATTTTACCTTATTTATATTTAAAAATTAAAACAATCAATATATTTTCCCATTTAATTAGTCCCACCTACCATTTAATAAAATTAAATAAAATTTAATTAATTCTTCCATGAATTAGGAAATAATTTTATTAATTGAAAATTGAAGTTGAAGGACATTTTTGGTACTTTTTGAAGTTCAAGGATGAATTGGTTCAAAAATAAAAGTTGAAGGACCAATTCAGGTATTTAACCTAAAAAATATGTTAGCCATGTTAACATCACTATTCAATTAATTCTTAAATAGAAAAAGTTGAAAGTTGACATCCTTAAATAGAAAATGTTAAAAGTTAACATTTTTATTTAGAAACTAACAAAATTAACATCCTTATTTAGAAAAAAATTAAAAGTTGATATCTTTATTTAAAAACTAATAAAATTAACAT